TTACTATTGCCATTTTGTTAATTGTTTTCTGACTATTTTGTACTTCCTTTGTTCGTTTCTTCCTCTCTTGTTATCTTACTTTGTGATTTGATGATTTTTTTTTTTTTTTTGTAGTGGTATGCTTTGATTCCTTTCTCTTTATCTTTTGAGTATCCACTACAGGTTTCTTCTTTCTGTTACCATGAGGCTTACATAACACATTTTTATAGTTATAACTGTCTATTTTAAACTGATAACAACATAACTTTGATTGCATACAAAAACTCTACACTTTTATTCCTGCCACATTTTATATCATTCATGTCACCATTTACATCTTTTTGTGTTGTGTATCCATTAGCAAGTTTTTGTAGCTATATTTTTATTACTTTTGTCTTTTAACCTTTTTACTAAAGTTATAAGTGATTTACCCACCATCATTATAATGTTAGAGTATTCTGAATTTAAATATATATTTACCTCTACTAGTGAGTTTTACACTTTTATATGTTTTCATGTTGCTAATTAGCATCCTTTGTTTCAACTTGAAAAACTCCCTTTAGTATCTCTTATAACACAAGTATAGTTGTGGCGAACTTCCTCAGCTTTTGTTTGTCTATAAATGTCTTTCTCTCTCCTTCATTTCTGAAGAACGGTGTTGCCAGTTATAGTATTCTTGGTTGGCACATTTTTTTTCATCGCTTTGAGAGTGTCATTCCACTCTCTCCTGGCCTGGAAGGTTTCTGCTGAGAAATCTGCTGACAGTGTTGTGGGGGATCCTTTGTATTAGATGAGTCGCTTTTCTCTTGCTGCTTTTAAAATTCTCCTTTTGTCTTCGACTTTTGACTATTTGATTATAATGTGTCTCAGTGAAGATCTCTTTATCTTCAATCTATTTGGGGTGCATGGATCTGGGTGTTTATTTCCCTCCCCAATTTGTAAAATTTTCTGTCATTGTGTCTTTAAATAAGATCTCTGACCTTTTCTCTTTCTCTGCTCCTTCTGGGACTCCTGTAATGTGTATATTGTTTTTTTGGATGGTGTCCCATAAGTCCTGTAGGCTTTATTCACCCTTTTTAATTGTTTTTTCTTTTTATTCGTCTGACTAGGTAATTTCAAATGATCTGTGCTTGAGTTCTTTGATCATTTCTTCTTCATGCTCTAGTCTGTTTTTGAACCCCTTTAGTGGATTTGCAGTTCGGTCATTCTTCAGCTCCAGGATTTCTGTTTAATGGTGTCTGTCTTTTTGTTAAACTTCTTTTGTTACTGTATTGTTTTCCTTATTTCGTTGAGTTGCCTGTCTGTATTCTCTCTTATCTCGCTGAGCTTCTTTAAGATGATTATTTTGAATTCTTTTTCAGGCACCTAGTGAATCTCCATTTCATTGGGATCAGTTATGCCATTATGGGAGATTTATTTTGTTCATTTGGTGATGTCATATTTCCTTGATTCTCCATGTTCCTTGAAACCTTGCATTGCTGTCTTCACATTTGAAGAAGCAGTCACTTCCTCCAGTCTTTACTGACTGGCTTCAGGAGAGAAAGATCTTCACCAGTCAGCCTGGCTAGAGATACTGGGGGTCTCTCAGATTCTTTCTGAGGATGCACTTGCTCCATTCCTCTTGTTCCCCTTGGAGGAGAAGTCTTAGATTGTGTGCCTTCTCTTGATCTCTCAAAGCCAGACTGGCTGTGGAGAGCCTTCTATTTATTTTTCCTAGGGCAATGCCCTGAAGTGTTCAAGGTTGTGCACCTTCTCCCAATCCAGCAAATCCAGCTTGATGCTGATATTTGTGTGCTCCCTGTGGGAGCTCGCATGCACCATCTGCAGGGGAACATGGGGTGTTGGCTATAGGAAGGGGGGTGCATGGAGTGCTGGTGCTGCATGTCAGCTAGTTGTGGGATCTGCAGATGGGGGTCCTACTGGGTTGTGGGTAAGGTTCTGGTTAGAGTCTGTAATCCAGTAAGTAGGATTTGTGACTGGTTGTTGAGATCTGTGCACTCGTTTCTGTGAGCTCCCTCCCCTTTTCTATGCTCTTAGCTGTCCCCAATTTATTCAGCTTTCCCAATCCTTTCAATGTTCTGAGTGTGGAGAGATGGAAATGGGCCTCTTGGGCAGCATCCCACAAGGTCGGGAAAGCTAAGGGCTCATTTTGCTCTCACTTTCCCCTGTGGGAGAAATTGCAGGTGAAGGCAGTCTCTTTTGGCCCTGAGCTGTGCAGCCATGGGAGAGGAGTGTCATGAGTAAAGTGAAACTGTTCTTATCCTCTGCAATGCTTCTATTCTTTGAATGTTTTTGCTCAATTGGGGTGCTGGAACCTGTTAGCTGTACTCCCCAGCATTCCAGAAAGGTATTCTCATCCATATGTCATTGTTAAAATCAGTGTTTCTCTGGGGTTATGAGGTATGAGACTTCCTTCCCCCAGAGAAACACTGATGTCTTGATTATCTTACTGATGTCCAGAAGAGATAATTGTTTCAGTAGCTTTCAAATATTCAGAGTTATTTCATAAAACATTCAAGTTATTTAAAAAAAACTCACCTTTTTATTGATTTAATAACAAAGTTAGAGAAAACTTTTATAGGATGTGAATAGAAGGACAGTAGTTTTAGGCAGAAGCAAGAGGCCTGCATATGGGTATCATGTATCAGAGCAGGCAATGGTTTGAGTTCAGATGAGCCTGAAGAATCTGAAGTTTTAAAGGTCAAGGAGGTAAAAATCCAAAGGCTAGGATAGTTTGAGGAATGCTCTGTAGATCAGGAATTAGAGTGAACTTATTCTACAATAGAGGCTGTTTTCTAACATAATATCAAAGCCAGAATACCTAAAATTACTAGTTTCTTTTTGCAATGCTTATAGGTGAACAGATTTGAAATTTAGTCAACTTTTCCTATCATCACAATGCTGGAGACATGTTAAATGTTCCTATCACATCTTCTAATTGCATTTGAGCAATCAAAGAGGAATTCTGTAGCCCTCAATGTCTCTTCTTAATGATGATATCACATTGGAGGGACATTTTCAGAAAGGTTTTAATTGGCTTAATTATTGTTATGAAACATTGGAGTGGAATGTTTGTACTAAATTAGTGAGCCAAAGGAAGACATGGTAAAAATGGCAAATGGAATAAGGAGGTAGATTTAAATGTAAATGAATTCTTGACTGATGGCCAGACCTGTGGTTGGGATTATTGTCTCGTCAAAAAGATTATGCACTGGATAAAGAAAATGTTAAATTTGGCATTTGTAAAATTAATTTCTTGTTTTTTAAAATTTTTTGTCCACCTAAAAGAGAAAAATGGAGAGACTCATTAGAGCAGTGGAAAAATAGGAAGGAGATAGAGTCATGAGAGGAAAAAATATTCTAAATAATTGTAAGACAGTTAACCAATTTTATATAGGATCTATTTCTAGTTTATATTTTATATTACATTATATAATATGTGAACATTACACAGTCCCAATTTTTTTTCTAATTGTTTTAAAATTATTTCTCTTTCTTTAATAATTTTCTCTTCCTAGCTTGGTCTTAGAGTTGTAGCCTTTAAAATTTTATCCTGGCTACTTTTGATCCCCAAATATTTATAATAATGTAATGTAACACAATGATCAATGTAAGATTATATATATATATAGTCACACGTCACTTAACAACAGGGATATGTTCTGAGAAATGTGTCATTAGGTGATTTTGTCATTGTGCAAACATCATAGAACGTACTTACACAAACCTAGATGGTATAGTCTACTACACATCTAGGCTATATGGTACTAATCTTATGGGACCACTGTCATATATGCTGTCCGTTGTTGATCAAAACATTGTTATGCGGCACATGACTGTTCACACACACAGTTAACATATACCTCTCTCTCTATGTGTGTGTGTGTATATATTTATATACATATATATATAAAATCTTGTACATAAGATTACATACTTGAAGATCCATGATCTTCATTGTGTGTGTCTGTAGACTCACAAATACACACACATTTTGAAGATCATTATATGATTTCATTTTATGTTAGGGATTCTTCAGAGAGCTTTTATTTGATACTAACTCCTTCTCCAATTATCACATTATGCCTAAACCTTGGAAAGGCTTCCTCTCCTGATGTATTTTAGTAAAGGACTCTTAGAGCTTCATACCCTCCATCCTTTCTTCAGAGGCTGTAGATTATCTTGATTTCTATTACCCAAAGACTTATATCTAATGGAAACCTTAAAAATACCATGTCAGGTTCCAATAGTGGGAAATAGCTGGAAGTTATAATAAATCAACTGGAAGATGGAGTTTTACTTGTTAAATGAATAATTAAAATTCAGAATTCTCTTTGATATATAGTGTTAAGGTTAATTAGAGTGTATGATTTACAGTGAGACATAATGAAAATAATATTGAATTAGGTATTATAAGACTTGGACACTTGTCCGAACTTCACCATTTACTTGCTCAATGACCTTGGGCAAGATGGTTTCACTCTCAGTCATCATCAATTGAAATATGTGGTTAGCAATATCTTTACTGCCCAACTCTTCATAGTGTTGTCAGGATGAGATAATACATGTGAAAATATTATGTAAACAATGAAGTTCTATATAAAGGTGACTCTTGTCAATAATAGTTACTATATGCTAGGCATTATACTAAGCATTCATATCATTCTCACAACAGTTTTATGAGACAAGCAACATTAGTATTTCAATTTTATGGATTAGGAACGTGAGGCTCAGAGTGTGTAAGACACCTGAGTGAGCTCACACTATCAGTGAGTGAGAAAGGCAAGATTTGAATACAGGTCTGTCTGACACTAGAACTGATGCTCATAATTGCACAATTTTTGCCACTCACCTGGACAATAATAGCTACATAGAATTATGTGTGAACTGGATGAGGCAGTATAAATGAATTCTCTTTATTATCACATCTGAATTCTAAATGTGAAAATAAAATAATATTTACTATTCTTAAAAATAGAATGCTATGGAGTTCTAACTATCCAAATGTGTTCTTCCTTTAGAATTTAATTGTCTTGGATCCACTCACAGTGACTGAGGAGGAAATAAGACCATCACTAGAGAAACGTCTTGAAGCCATTATCAGTGGGGCTGCTCTGTTGGCTGACTCTTCATGCACGAGGGATTTTCATCGGGAGCGGATTATCGCAGAATGCAATGCCATTCGCCAGGCTCTCCAGGACCTGCTTTCAGAATACATGAACAATGTAGGTGACTGGTTCCCCCCCACCCCATGCACTAGGTATGCACTGGTGTTCTTTCTGTGTGCAGATGTGATAAATTACAAATAAGTACATAATTTTATGTGGATTGGCTTTCTGAGTAGGCTCTGCTTGGGTTACTTACAGGGTACTGCATTGAGATAGGAGTTTCTAGGGATGGAGTCCAATCAGAGGATTATTTACATATGATTGTTTTGTTTGAGGCAGTATCTAAATATTAGTTGAAGAAATGAGTCAAGATTGGAGAAAGGAAACTGGAGTTACACATCAACTTAAAGGAAAAAAAGAAGATGAAGAAAAGGGTGGTTGTTCAAGATTATGTTGGTGAATAAGAGTTAGAATTTAGAGAGTTGTGGATAAAGTCAATGCTGCAGGGATCAAGGGCTATTTTTGAATGTGTAAAGAGCTCATGTAGTTTGGACAGCTCAAAGTTTTTCGAACGTAACATAATGTCATAGACTTTTTGAAGTTTTAGCTATCTCCCATGAATATTAGAAATGCTGTCTAAATCTAGACAAATGCAAAAATATTTATTTCAAAGATTTTTTTGATTTCATTTCATATATATTTATATCTGTCTATGGAGTATCTTTGACAATTCTTGCATTCAAGTCTTAGTGCCATTTTTAAAATGAAGAAGAAAGTCTTGAAGACATTGTCAACTATATATTGATCACGAAGACTCCTTAAATAATAGAGCTAAACAAAATGAAAGATTTATAATAGGTATATTTTATTTATCTGCCTTATTATTAGTGGAATAATTCAAGAGTTATGAAGGTATGTTTTGAAAATGGTTATAAAGCATATGACTTTTTGGGTGTGAAATTGAAGATTTAAGATTGTTCAGTGTAAGTAATTTATGTAAATAATTGAAATGTGCTAAAATTAGTGAGTGAGTTTTAAGGACCCTTCAACACACTTGACTTATCTCCCTACTCTTAATATGTGATGACTTTGGCTCCTGACCAAAAAGCTCTTGCCTGTCAAGAAGTCAAAGTTGTAAAGCAGATTTTGTTAATGAGAAGAACATATTGGTAATGTCATGTCCTGCTTCTGAAGCTAGAATATCTCCATTTTTAGCATGTAATATATTCTTAGTTAAAGATTTTTTAAGGGAATTCACCAGTTACAGGAAGCTCGGAAGATGATATTGTATTTGAACTTCACCTCCCCTGATCTGTGAACTATTAAAATTATTATTCTCATCTTTATAAATAAAAATATAATAAAGTTACAATATAAGTTTATTTTATCTATAAATTGTAAAATTATAGATAAATTCACTTTATACAATATAAAGTTCTTTTATTCTTTTGGATACAAACACAAACAGATGCACATTCACACACTCACCCATGTACATAGTCAGGGATGGCTACATAATTGTGGAGCCCAGTGCAAAATGAAAATGGAAGACTTCTTGTTCAAAAGCAGGGGAAAAAAAAGCTTTTTCCAATCCAGTCTTGACTGACCCAAGACAGATTATTTTTATTTACTATTTGATATTACGTTCTCTAGTGCATAGGGATACTTGTGGGACATGCAGAACCCTCACGGTGTCCATAGCCCTGCCCCATGACCCTGATCCACCCTGCCTTGTGCCAAGGCTGCCCCTAGGAGTGGAGGGTGGCAGCAATCACTGAGTGGGGGAGCAGGTCGCTGAAGGCACTGTGAGGCATGACTGCATGTGAGTGGAGGGCATATGCTTTATTGCCCCATTGGACTTCACTTATATACACAAATTTAAAGATAAAATTGTTGAGAATTTCAAGACTGTGGTAGTAGAGCATTAAAAGCCAACCATGGTGCTCCTTTCTGAGCATGGGGCTCTGTGTGCAGTCACAGCCCCCTGAAGCTGGTCCTGTACATGATAAACATATATCACATAAAAACAGTGGTGATTTTATGGTTTTCTTCAACTTTGGGTTAAAAACTATTTGGGTTAAGAAGTATTCATCCCAAGGGTAAAGTGATGGGAGCATTCTGCCCTGGGTGCAATTATTAAGAAGGTGCATTGTCTCTAGAAATTTATAAACAATAATAAAACCAACCAAAAGTTGGTCTGCTTTTTACTATCACCACGTACCAGCAAGTCTAAACATCAATGATAAAATGTTTTTCACAAAATTCTTTTGTTTCTCTAAGTTCTAAACAATTGCCGTGGTTATTGTTGAGTTTTAATAATATATATGTATGATTCAAATTAGCATATTTTTATGATTAGCTTTTAATAAACATTATATTCTTCATGCATTTAAACAGTAGATTTAAAATAAACAATGATGACACCACAGTGATTATAATGACAAAGAACTAGAAATAGAGTTACTTCAACTATGTTATTTTATATGATCACTTGGAATTTTTATTTGAATTTAAAAATTATAGCAATGAAACAGTGTGAATTGCCAGGGGTAATATTTTTGTTAGGTAAATCCAAATTTCCTACATGCAAGGTTCATACATGAAATATTTCATTGAATTTGAATAATAACTTTGAAATTTGTCCTCCTCTTGGAAATTGTCAATTGCTTTAAAGTTAAAAAATAAATCAGGAAAATAATGATTATTACTGATTATTACTAAAAAGTAATTTTGTCATAAAGAGGAGGGAGATGTTTAAAAAGTGTCTATTCCAGGCATCAAATATAATAAGTAAGGCAATGAAAATATGTATATATTTTTCTATGTCTTACTGTTCTTTTCCTTAACGAGAATTTAATCTGATGTTCAGTTTCAAGGCCCATTTGTCAAGTACACAAAACTTATTTATGTTACTAATATCCTTCTGTTAGATATTTTGGTTTTAAAACAAGGTAAGTTCTATATTAGAAGAGTGAAATGGAAAGAAACTTTTTCATTTATAATATCCAAATAATTTAGATCAAAGGTAAGTAGGGTTTTTTTAGCTTGTTCAGATAATTATCTTAATTTTCATTTTTTTAAGGGTGTACTTAATTGTAGGAATTCAAATATTTCTGTTTGTTAATTGATTATGTTGCACTACTCTTCATGCTTGATGGAGGCTATTTTCTTCTTCCTTCCTCCATGTGTTCTCTTCTCCCCTTCCAGCAAAGGAGTGCAAACACCGCCTGAAATACCTCTCCCTCATAAACTTCCCCCTTCATAGCTCTCATCCCTGATGGAATTCCTGTGTTTACTCGTCTGCCTTCTCCACTAGACAAGAGCTCTAGGAAAGCGGGGACTGTGTCCCTGGCCCTTAGCACAGAGCCTTTCAGGTAGCAGATGCTCACTAATTATTATTTGGATACAGGTACATTGAATTTAATGCTTGTTTCTTCTCAGTTTTTTAATTAAAATGACAATATCCCTGAAACAATTACTTTGTATTTATTTATTATATTTATATGATACCGTGGAGAAAAGATGGGAAGGATTAATGGCGAGAACAGAAACATAGGCAAAGAAGAGCACAGAGGTGAGGAAGCTTGTTCTTTGGGTGATCTAAGTATATGTATATATTCTTTCTCCTAGGGGGTAATATGAAGTGCTTGTTGAGGAAGGCATTTTTTTCCAGGGAATGAAAGACTTATTATGTGTGTGGGTAATGTCTGGTGATCTGCCCTGATGTTGGTGTAGAGTTCAGAGCAGGAGGAGCTAAATTTATGCAGTGGTGGTCCCCACGATCAGAAACCCGTCTATGTGCACATTATATTAACATTTTGTTGATAAGTATAACCTATTAATAATAAAAATATGAATTTATAGTATTATTAAAAAGCACTCCAAAAATAGTCTATTAGTTTCTTTTCATTTAAAAGTGAAGAATTTTAGGCCTAATACTGGTATCTGACCGAGCCAATGAATATTGGAATTAAATAGCAGGAACCAATCTGGAAAACTGTGGGGTGTATTATCAGAACACATTTCCAGATTTATTTTTACTATAGGTTTATATCACAAATGATGCTTCGCTATAACTGTTTCATCAGCTTTTAGGAAAGGGAATGTACTTTCCTTGAACTAGCTGAACTCGAACCTATCTGAGTTTGCTCAAAGATTTTTGGATAGTTCTTGTACTTAAATCCTCAACTTCCTAGTTAAAGGAATATGTGTCTCCCTTGCTGGGCCTGGTTTGCTTTTCAGATTAGTTAGGAACTTTTGTAATTGAGCTATGTTGGTAGAGTAAATGCTTGATGATAATTGAGACATAATAAAGATAACCACGAAAACTTAAAGCATGATTAATACTCATAAGAATCTGTGGATCTCTTATGTGGATGTGACTTCAAGGTTTCAAATTTTGCAATTCTATTGATCCCAGAGCAGTTCAGCAGTGGGAATTGAATAAAGTTTATGTTTTTCTCAGGCTCAGCCCATATGACCAGTTTGAGTCTAAAGAACTTTACTTCCTTAAACAGATCAGCAAGTCTCAATTATATTTTCACTGAAGTTTTGTGTTCACTAAGTTCAATGTCTTGTCACATTAGTAAGAAATTAGTAGGAAATGAGACCATATGAGTCTATAACAGATAAAACAGACCACCACTTAACATGTATGCCTGAATATTTTCCTTTTAATTTATATATATATGTATGTATACATACATATGTATGTATATATGTATACATGTATGTATGTATATATGTATACATACATATATATATAAACAAACTTAGTTTTCTATTGCTGCTGTAACAAATTACCACAAACTTAGTGGCTTAAAACAACACAAATAATTATTTTACAGCTCTGTAGGTCAAAAGTCTGACACCAGTCTCACTGGACTAAAAATGAAAGTCTGTAGGGAAGAATCTATTTCTTTGCCTTTTCCAGCTTCTAGAGGCCACCCACATTCCTTGACTCATGCCCTCTTCCTCCATCTTCAAAGCCAGCAATGTCACATTTCTCTGACCCTGCTTTGGTCCTCACATCTCTTTCTCTGATCACAGCCAGGAAAAGTTCTCTGCTTTTTAGGACTCATATAATTAGACAGGACCCACCCAGATTATCCAGGATA